GGAGGGATCCTTTTAAAAAAATAATTTTATTGGGGCTTTTATAACTCTTATGACATTCCTTTCCATACATCAATTGTACCAAGCATATGTGTACATACGTTGCCATCATCATTTTCTAAACATTTACTTTCTAAACATTTGAGCCCTTGGTATCAACTCCTCTTTTAACCCTCCCTCGCCCTCCTGACCCCTTGATAAATTATTATTATTTTCATATCTTACATCGGCCACTGTCTTCCTTCACCCACGTTTCTATTGTTCATCTCCATGGCTAGGGTGGGGTGGGGTGGGGTTATGCATCCATCATTGCAATTGGTTCCCCCTTCCTCCCCTCCTTTCCCCATATTCCCCCCCTACATGTTTTTTTAATGTTTGTTTTAAATTTTTGCATTTTTTTTCACCTAACAGTATATGGGGACAGCTTTCAATGTCCCCTAAGTCACAGAGTTTAAGAACTCTGCTGCTAAACAGAAGGTCTGGTGGTTCAAATCCACCAGTCGCTCTGCAGAAGGAAGACGTGCAGTCTGCTCCATAGGTTCACAGCCTTGGAGAGCAGATGGGAGGTCTCCTTCATCCTCCAGGGCCACGATGTGTGAGAAGCAGCCGGAAGTTCATTATCTTGCTATCCTTAACATTTACTGAAGACTGTAAGCCAGCTGGCTGGCTGATTGAATGAATCTGAAAAATTTTTACAAGCTACGTTCCGTCGATAATTTAGTTCATTTTCCGAGAGAGGGACATGTCTGATCAGAACACAGGAGAGCAAAGGAAGGGGTGAATCGAGCACAGCCTGGCCCACCAAGCCTTGAGGACGATGTTCCTGCTCAGAGCAGCCAATCCACAGAGAAGACCATATGGCCGGCCCCACTATGAGACACGACATCCCTCACTGACCCATAGCCCTACAGGGGACAACACCGGAGACACAGTGTGGGAATTCCGCCCGATCTGATCCCACCACACTAAGGCAAAACATTAAGGGTGTGGAACAGAACAGCAAGAGGAACAGAGCAATGAAGTCCCCAGGGAATACCAAAAATAGACTTTGGGGCCAGGGCTTGGCGCCCCATCAGACTTGACCAGGAAACACCCCTAAAGGCCAACAAACAGTCCTTGAAATAACTATAAGCTTTTCTTTCTGTTGTTGTGTTTCGTTTTATTTTTGTTATTGGCTTTTTGTTGTTGTTGTTTTGTTTTCTTTTGTTGCTTGTTTTGCTCTGTCTTGTTTTTGTGCATGTTATTATCTCCTCAGGTCTGTCTAAATAAGATAGGCTAGATGAACAATCTGGTGGAGAAAACAAAAGGACCGACAGTTCCGGGGGCACATGTAAGAA